TACACTTCCTTCCAGGTCCTTTCACGTTGCCGTAATAACAGGATGGGGGCTTAGTGTAAATCATGATAAAAGTCATTAAGCAGAAAGATAATTCGCCCTCTCTCTGCCAATTAAGGGATATCAGATACGGCACATACACTGGGGAGACATCCTTTTTCATCTGAGAAAATAAGCTTAAGCAATCCCTATATAATCACTCTTTTCTCAGCAAACTTTCTGAAGCACAGATAAGATCAAAGGTGGCTTTCCCAGCCAACAAAGTTATTAACACCTCAAGGAAAGAGTAACGTTACAAAAAAGCCAGGCTGCCTGATGGCTTCCTTGATCTGAGGACAGACATAAGCAGTAGCAGCAGGGGGCTGCTACCCTCAGTACAAACAAGGCAGCATCTAAGCATGAATAGGGAAACAACATGCTGATCTATGAAAAAATATCTATTTTCATGCCACTTTTGAATTCCTACTTCTTTTAAGAAACAGTTCCCAAAATAAAAAACTGCATACATATTTTAGGTACAGAAAAATGTCTTCATGTGATGAGAAAGCACACCACTGTGTGCTGAAGTTAAAAGAAAACGGGGCAGGCATTGCCCTTAAAGTTGGTTCACAAGCAAGGAATTCAGGACCCACTTTCACCATAAGAAAGGAAAAACCCCAACATTGAGACGCCCCCAAAATCCCCAGTCAGACAATCTTTAGAAGTGTCCTTAATTTTATAAGGAATATGAAAGTAACAGACCAACGGAACACATCTTAATTCATTATGTTTGTCTTGGTTAGCTGAGATCAGAGGCCAGACTCAGAGCGTTAGAAAAGAGAGTCCACGAGAAACAAGGAACTCCATGATGAGCATGGGAGAGTCCAACAATCCTAGTGAAATGCCTCAACATTTTTTTTTGCCTTAGCCATAACCTTAAGGCATGGACAGCTTGTGCTTCAGCAAGAACTGTACAAGTGTTGCTGTGGCAGCTTGAAGACCCATAACCGTGAAGAAAGAAGCAAGCACACGGGATGTGAAGGCCACAGCATCTGCTCGCAGGTAAGGGTCATACAACCATCGACACCGAGCATGCCCCAGGCGTGGGGGTTAGAGACAGGACAGCCTGATGAAGGCTCGTGAGCGAGGAAGTAAGGATGGCTGGGACCCCTGAAGACCCCAAGCAACATGGCAGAGCACATGGACAGAATAACTGGTTGTGTAACAGGGAGAAGGAGCCTGTGGTAACAGGTTCTAGGAACTCAAACAGCAATTCGAGCAAAGAGGAGGAGCGTGTGAGGTTAAAAGGTCGAGGATGAAGTATCACAGCTGGAACATCCTCCCACCAGCTGAGGAACTGGACCAACAGGATGTGTGTGGATCCATGGTGGTAACTACTTCTTGCATCTCTTCGTTATTCTGCTACCTCTCACATTCTCTTCCCCTTCTCTGGTTCTTTCCTACCACTGAGAGACATTCTTAAATAAAGATTGTTGGGTGAACAACATCTGACCTTATTTGTGTCTTAACTTCACCACTGGGATCCCATCAAACCCTCTCAAACAATATAATGGACTGAGACAGAGCAGAAGCAGAACTCAGCTTCTTGTCTGTGCTTTGACTGAAGCTAACATACACCATGGACTCTCTCACGTACAATGAAAATTCCTTATTTTCAAGATTATTGCAACTCACTATCCCCCTAACAGCTTCAATTTCCTTTGCAAAATGTGGTTACAATGGGCCAGCTGCTGAGGAGAGACAACAAAAAGAGACAGGAGATGCACAAAGTAAGGACACGTTTCTTTTCTGAAGCTGTAACAATAATAAGAGAAGTATCAATCTGAGCCAGCAGTTCCCCAAATATGACTGTTGTGGTTTGAGGCTTGCAATGGGGTCATGACCTTCCAGCAACTGGGAGGACCGCGGCTGGTGGTGAACCATTGTATTCCCTCCCCTTCCCACACACACTCTGATAAGAGGCAGGGAGTGGTTTCTTGTTTCACTCCTGCCTTGGAGCTTGGAGAGGAAAGTTCTCCTTTCACTCCGTGGGACCCTGGAACCATTTCTGAGGGGTTTTTATATTTTATTTCTTGTATTATTCCCCTAATCTTTGTATATATTATTTTCCTTACCTCCCTTTTTCGTTTTCTGTTCCTTGTTGAACAATATACTTCATTTTTTTTCCAAAGTGTCTCTCTCTCTCTCTAGGGGGGGGTGAGAGGCGAGTACACAGTTCTGTTCCCTGTGGGTCCTGCCCTGAACCCCTTTTTACACGGAACCAGAACAATGACATAAATATCACCTGCAGTTTGGAAGCAGCATGCAAATGACATCTGAACAGGCAAGTGACCTTCATACACACCACTGGGACTAAGTGTGTGAAAGCCTTGCATGAAGAACAATCAAGCTAAAACAAAACACAAGCATTTAATTCATCATAACTAGCAGGACAAGAACCTCCTCCCTGACACAGCATGCTCTGGCCACCCAAACAGCACCAGACTGAACCCTATCATACCTCTACAGAGGCTTTCATCTTAGCCAAGTTTCTGCAAGTCATGCCAAAACTGTGTCATCACTGCTACAGCCATATGAGGAAAAAACCCCCACACTTCTAGAAAGAAAATATAACTCAGGAGGGTATCACTGAAAGGAGAAACTTTGTGTTTGAATTCAAGAAATGGTAACGGGTGCTCCAGTCCCAGCCTGCAAAGCATGGGAGCACAGAGCTGGACAGTACACACCTCAGTCCAGATCTCTGTCCACATTTGCTGTCAGATGCCTGAGAGAACTCCACCCAGAGAAAGCTATTAGAAAAAAAATAGTATTACTTAGTATTTACATAGCACTTCCCATCTGGCAATTTTTAAGCAATCTCTACATTAAGTAATTTACCAAGAAAAATAAAAACACACATTGGCATTCTGGGTGATCAGTAGCTTATGCTTGCAGAGGAAAACAATTCTATTTTATTTTTATTAGAATTAAACTTTAAGGCCTGAATTCACTATACATTATTCACATTGTTACATTTTAAATTGGCAAAGAGGTATTCAATCAGCTCATTAGCTCCAAAACGCATTTAACAGCACATTTTGCTAAGTTCCCATATTAAGAAAACCACAAAGAACCTGGAGCTGTTAACATAATTTTATCATTGGTTAAGAACTAACAAGTTAGGGCACTGTAATTGTTGTTGTTTTAAAAAAAAAAAAAAAAATTGGAAAAAATCCCACCTTCCAGCTTTCTCATCCTGGACTACTCTCTTGCTAACTACGCCCAGTTGATTCTTCCTTATTCCAATTAATCTGTTGAGATCTTTCTGAAATTATTTCCAACTATAACAGGGCTTCCTTTTTGTGGGTAGCCACACACGTCAGCTTGGCACAGCTTTCCTTTCTCACAAGTGCAAGGTGCTTCCTTGTGTTCATATAGGAAGCCATCAAAAACATACTGTGGCTGGATTTAAGAGCAGATTCATAGCGCTGGCCATCGTTAGCACTGCTAGCCAGCAACACTATGCTGCTCTGAAAATTAATCTTCTGGGAGTGAGATATTTAAAATACAGTTCACATGCTCCCTGTGACAGAGCAATTCCTGTATGTCAGATACGTCGTCTCCCTCCCATGGCCTGTGGGATGAGGCGGCAGCGCACTGATTTTTATTGCTGGTGAACTCAAACTAGAGGCTGCTCTTTAAGAGACACAACGCAAGCACGGGCAAACACGACGGCTGCAGCCATTCAGTTCTGGCTTTCTTTTTTTAATGCATAAAATGGGTACACAAATTTAAGTGACAAACTCCTGGCAGGTGGCCAACTCGCCCCATTGGTAACACAAATGTTGCACGTCTTTGAGTTGGGACACCATGGCAGTGAATCACTGGAAAAATCAGGGATTCATCCTGTCTCCTTTAGAAGAAGGGAAAAATTTTCAGAGGGAGGTAAATTTCCTGTTCTCTGAGGTACTGGACATTGAACAAGGCTGAATATAAGAAAAAGGCAGATCATTAATCCAAGTAATTCTAGCAGCTTTTTTATAGGACGTCCCAAACTTGTGACTTCTTTATTAATCTTAGCTGTTAGAAGACAAAACAAGTTAAATTGTGTGAGAGCATCTTGTGATTTCTATATATGCTCCCACAAATACAACTAATACTTTATTTTAATTTAATTCTCCTAAAGTTTCCCTGGTGTTTTCGTATTTCTTCTATGCTCCATTTGCAGCTGGTGTTCTCAGATAACTTACATAGCCAGGAGTTAAACTATCTGGAAAATCAAAAGTAGAATTACGAGGCTCAATAAACCAGTAGTAAGTACAGTAAACACTTGACAAAAACACAAAGACAGATGGGCTTTGGAACCAGTCCCTTTTTTAACACCTCTAAAGCTTCTGTCTAATTAGGTTCATTTTGTGACAACCAAGAATGGGATTAGATCAGCATTACTGTTATTCTAGCAGCCACATGACAGAACCTAGATGATTTTATTTGTCAAGCGTTTAATCAATTTTTAGTCCTGTACTGGCCTCTCATTTTCAAAGCTCATGGGAGACTACATGCCTTTCTCATGAGCATGAATCATCAAGTTCACCCACGTGTCAGAGTTAACCTACAGTGAAACTGCCATTTTATAAATAGTTCACAATGTTTAAAAAATGGCATTCTGTCTGAGAGAAGGAGGGGAAGATCACAGCTCATTCGTTGTCCCTCTTTTTTTTCCCTGGAGGGAAGAGGGGAGGAGTGGAATTCTGTATTTCAGGTAACAGACTTCATTCCTAACAGATTGCAATGTCACATATTGAAAACGTGGTCAGTAAACAACAACTATAAGCCCCTACTTGTTCATATGACAAACACTTCACTGAAAAATGGAGCAACATCAAAAAGCTAGAAAACAAATGGTCACTCTCAGCTCTGCCAGCGTTGCAGCTGGTATTCAGGCAGGTTTAGATGGCTCCATGAGACACTTCTGCAGAGCTTATCCTC